TTTTTTTTTTTTTTTTAGTCTGTACCAGAGATTGAACTCAGGACCTTCCACTTGCCAGGCAAGTGCTTACTTACTCTACTGAGTTATGTCCTCAACCCCTGCTGTGTGTAAAGTCCTCAGTAAATATAATTTTTCTAGTAGTTGCAGCTGTCACTGGGATCTAAGGAGAAGAGACCCAGAAGACTCGCCTACATCTAAAGCCGTTTGATGAGAGATTACACTGCCCTGTGACTTGGCAGAGACAGGCTCCTGGAACTTTGATTTGGATTCTAGGAGATGACACTGGCACAAAAGGTTTTTAAAAAAATCTTAGCGTGGTGAAGAATTGGTAAGTAAAAAGCCACTTATGTCTACTAACAGGTGGGGAGTTAATTCCAGAGCAAAGTAATTCAGTCTATTTTAGGCTTTTCAATAGCTGCTATAGCTTTTTTCTGGGGGGCTCCAAATGCCTTCAGTCAATAGCTGCTATGAACATGCAATTTTATAAACATTTATTTTGGTCTTAAGTAAAATGTTAACTTAGATTATTGTGAAGCTCTGCACCGAGAGGAGGATGCTTGGGTTATGTGGTGCCTGGTAGTGTGCTGACCGTACAGAAAGTCTTGCCTTTCTGGAGTAATAGCTCCATGATTTTGGTGTGTCCATTTTGGGCGGCGAGAGCAAGAGGAGTGAATCCGTAGGCGCTCCGAGGGTCGGGGCACGCCCCCGAGCCCAGCACAAGCTTCACCATGTCCTGTCTGCCCAGCTTGGCTGCTTCGTGGAGAGCCGTCCTCTCGTTGGCACAGCGCAGATTGACGCTGGCTCCGTGTCTGATCAGCAGGCTGGCCATGTCATACGAGTCCCGCACGACAGCTGGGGATTGAGAGGTAGGGCGGGCGTCACGTCCGAAAGCCGGGATGTCCCGAGGAATAGGACCTCTCGGCTCCTTAGGGCGCGCTCCCCACCTCAGGCCTTAGGACTCATGTTTAGGAAACACATTGGAAAATATAAATGACCTATCAGATCATTTATATTAGTGGCTTTTCTGTAAGACACGACCAATTATTCAATGTTGTTTGCATACGGGGTTGAAACAACAACTTTTTCACTAAAACATCCTTCTCAAAAAAAAAAAAATGGAACTTCAAACATTCAGTACAATTATGGAAATGCTTATAACTGCTTGAAAAGAAAAACCAAAAGCAACAGAATTTGGCTCAATAAATGAATATCTAAAAGATAATTTACACATGTTTAGGTGAGTGCCTGAGCTCTCAGAAAATGATGGTTTTTTGTCTGTGTTTCACAAAAATGTGCAGAAAGCCTCTTAAAGTTTGCAAAGTGATTCAGTAGTTAAACAGGGCTACTCGGACACACACAATCCCAAACTGTAAAAAGCCTCGGATGACTGTAAATGCTGTCACTGTTCAAGGTTACTTTGCAATATAGTATTAGTATTATTATTATTATTATTATTATTATTATTATTATTATTATTTGGCAGAACTGGAGATTGAACTCAGGCCCTTGCGCTTGCCAAGGAAGCACTTATTCCACTGAGCCATCTCCCCGGCCCGTGCAATGTATTAATTATTGTAACTGCCCTACTAACCTGTTTTGAAACTGTCTCATTGCTATTTCTTTCTCAATAAAATTAAAAATAAAAAAAGGAGTTACTTCGCAAGGGCTGCCCAGATAGCTCTGCTTAGGCAGGTGCAGCGACCTGGGTTTGATCCCCGTCGTGCTGTGTGGGCCCCGCCGCTGGGGCACACCGAGCTCGCCACTGAGACTCGGTGTGGTGGCACATGCCTGTAATCCCAGCGCTTGGGAGGCTGAAAACAGGAGGGTCGCTACGAGTCCGATTTATGTAGTGAGACCCTGTGGACCCTGTACTAAACTTAAATAAAAGAAGAAAAGTTACTTTGCACACTGAGAAGAGTCTCTGAGCAATCTCGCAATGAACTTATTTCACTGTGACCCAGCATTATCTGTGATCTACGAATGAGGAAGTGGTGTTCAGGTACCACAGATATGCACGCATTCGACCGGCCCACTAGTGGAGCAGAAAGGAAAACCAGGCCTTCCCATATCATTGTGACAGGTTCCATCACTTAATGCTTTTTATGTACACACGACTTTGACACACAAAATAAATCCTAGTGTCCCTCTCCTATAGAGGAGCAAACCCAGGTCTAGCAAGGTCAGGCCCAGCCCAGAATTCTTCTCACTGCATGGCATTAATCTACATAGAGCTTCATAACCTACGAGCTGCCTTCTCAGGGAAAGCTCAGTGTGTTTTCTACAAACATAAACCTGGGAACATCATGAGACAAACCAAGATGGGACCTCCAGTCTCAATTTTAATCCATGCTCTACTGCTTTTTCTTTTTCATTTTTGTCCTCTGAACTGGGGACTGAATTTAGGACGCTGCCCTTGGCTTATTCTACTGAGCTATCTCCCCAGCCCTCATTTCTATTTTGATAAAAGTTATATACAGGCAGAGTTTAAAGGGCCAATTACTGCAGAGTTCACTCTTCCACTCTTCTTTTTTCTTCCCCAGAGGCATCGATGAGCTGCTCCTTTACTCTTAATGTGTATATTTCTCCAGTCTGCTTGTATTGCTACTTTTTTATTTTTTGGTTTTGGCATAAAGTTGGCTCTTCATTATGCAAAATGAAGATTTGACTATTGTCTTCCTCTTGTGCCCACGACATGCACATTTCTCCTGGCAACAAACAAGCTTCCAACATTTTCATAGCATATTTTGTTAGGTAAGTATTGAGTGCTTACCTTAATTTGGTCATGTTCACCGTTCAAAACTGGAGCATCATAATGTTTTCTTTCCTGCACGTCTTTTGTTTCCCCTGGAGTTAATACTTGTCTTACATTTCATTTGCTTAGTTTTTCTTTTTTTAATTTTTTTTTTATTTATGCATGTATGTGTGTGTGTGTGTGTGGCCAGCTCAGCTCAGCCCACCAGGGGGCAGGCTGGCTGGCATGTGGTGCTGGGGGATTGAACCGCGGTCCCTGTGCTTTGCTAAACTTGTTTTAAATAGGTGCTTTAGACCACTGAGCCATCTCACCAGCCCCTTGCTTAGTTTTTCATTTAATCATTAATTCAATACCCAAACTTCTAAACTGTCTAAAGCTCCTTTCAGAACATTTTCATCCCGTCACTTCTCACCAAAGCCTTGCTGGGGCCTTTTGGCTGTTCCAGTCCAATTCAGTCTGGCTGACGTGCTGTTAGGAAATCCCAGAAATTCTAGGAGCTCTGGTTCCCAGCTCTTTGGGCTCTCATTTGCCTACCTCCTGGATTGGGTTTTTTTCTTTCTCGGACAGAAGCTTCTATAGTTCGTTTTCTCCCATGTTGGTAGAACATTTGTTAACTTCCTAAGAAGCTAAGAAGTGTATGAAAATTAAAACTTTTTGAGATCTTCTATGTTTCAAATTATGGATTTTTGTGTCTCTACCATCACATTTAATAATTTGGCTAAATATAGAATTATAAATTGGAAGATTTTTCTTTTACAATTTGTGAAACTGTTCACTAATTTCATCAAACATGTCATTACTGTTGAGAAATGTACATCCTCTTTTTCTCTTGGGAAACTTGTGGAAGTGTTTCTTTATCCCTGGGAACTATGTGGGTCTTTACAAAAAGAAAGAAAAGGGCCGGCCAGATAGCTCAGCCAATTAAAGCGCCTGCTTAGGCAGATGCAGGAAC